AAGGTCCAGTGCTAAAACTTTTCAACTTCTGCCTTTCAATAATATTTCCGGAACTTACTGTCGAACTTATCCTTCTTTTATCTATAAAATATATATTTATATATATATTCACATAAAATATTATCCTTCTCTTATCTATAAAATATATATTTATATATATATGCACATAAAATATTATGCATATGTAGATTTTTTTTAACGTGGAAACGACTGAACCGACTTCAAGGTCGTTTTTTACTTAATTTAGGAAATTATCTCTCTAAAGATAACAAAATCTACCAAATATCTATTTTCTGGCCAATAATTTATGGAAAGTTAATGCTCTAAGACACAATTGAAAAATCCTCTAAAAATCTTTATTATTTGAAAAAAGGGACTGTAAAGGAATAATGGGTATAGGCTGAAACCTGAGAATCATAGGAGTTGATTGAGACCTATAAGAGTTCTATCTGATGTTAGATTAGATTTAGAATTTATACCAAAACATTTTTATGTAAGATTTTGTATAAGATTTGTAGTAATAAACATATTATATTTAACAAATAATCAGCCAATCTGAAAACGACAATATCCCACAGGAGCCTGAGAAACTCAAGTTTGCTTCTATTATTATTTGAATTTAATAATTTTCACTTTTAATAGATAAATTGATAGTCATTTTTATGCATCCGAAACATGTCACCATTGGAAGGAGTTCTGATCACGTGATACGGACCTATATCTTACATATATACGTTTTGGTATAATTTTGACACAGTTTTATGTCTATTCTCGAGACAGTAACATCAGATAGATGTCTTATAGGTATCGTTCAGCTCCTGAGATGCTCAGCCTATACCCATGTTTCATTTTTCCTTTACAGTCCCTTTGATATAATAGATGTGCATATTACAATTATTTTTTAAGTTTTGAAGCCATTTAAATGTATTGCTATTTTGCTATTCACCAATTGACGTTGATTTCAGTTTGTTCTGTCATTCATAATTATTTACAAAGGAAATAATGAAATTAAATTATTATTTTGTAGTTAATCAGATTTTTAGTATTCACTAAGACTGGGTTCAAGTTACAAGGCCAAGTTTCAGTTTTGAAAATGGATTTTATAAAATAAAAAAATAAGATTTAAAACTTTGTTGGAGGGGTCACTGGCAGTGTTTATTTTCGTCATCTGTGTGTTAAAAACTATTTAATCTTCATTTTCAAAATCTAAATTAAATTCCTGATTTTTGTTTTTTAGCTGAAATTCACGTAAACTGGACATATTTAAACTTTAGAACAATTTTAATCAAAATTATTTAAATTCATTCTGTTTTAAAGTATCTGTAGATATTATTTTAAGCTGACCTTCCAATCCTGGACTAGCAATTCCCATAGGAACCTTTTTATCAACCTTTGCAATATCTTTTATCATAAATTTGTACTTTATATTTAATTGTTGATATTACATTGATCCGTGCTGTTGTAGATTTGTACTGTGTGTTTAGTTGTTGATATTCCATTGATCCGTGCTGTTGTGGATTTGTACTCTGTGTTTAGTTGTTGATGTTCCATTGATCCGTGCTGTTGTATATTTGTACTTTGTTTTTAGTTGTTAATGTTCCATTGATCCGTGCTGTTGTATATTTGTACTTTGTGTTAAGTTGTTGATATTCCATTGATCCGTGCTGTTGTGAATTTGTACTTTGTTTTTAGTTGCTAATGTTCCATTGATCCGTGCTGTTGTGAATTTGTACTTTGTGTTTAGTTGTTGACGTTCCATTGATCAGTGCTGTTGTGAATTTGTACTTTGTCTTTAGTTGTTGATATTCCATTGATCCGTGCTGTTGTGGATTTGTACTTTGTGTTTAGTTGTTGATGTTCCATTGATCCGTGCTGTTGTGGATTTGTACTTCGATGGAACAAACACACGTGGCAGAATTAGTCCAGACAGCCGACCAGCCATTAGGTAAATATCTCAACTAATATAATATTGAAAAGGACTGCATACGTAATTAAAGTCAACAGTAAAAAACCCACAAACATAATAATAATTGAAGTATTTAATTATAATAATAATTATTAAAGTACCAGTAAAGTACTTATGAATATTATTAAAGGTCCAGTAAAGTATTTATGAATTTTATTAAAGGTCCAGTAAAGTATTTATGAATATTATTAAAGGTCCAGTAAAGTATTATTTATGAATTATATTAAAGGTCCAGTAAAGTATTTATGAATATTATTAAAGGTCCAGTAAAGTATTTATGAATATTATTAAAGGTCTAGTAAAGTATTTATGAATATTATTAATGGTCCAGTAAAGTATTTATGAATATTATTAAAGGTCCAGTAAAGTATTTATTAATATTATTAAAGGTGCAGTAAAGTATTTATGAATACTATTAAAGTTCCAGTAAAGTATTTATCAATATTATTAAAGGTCCAGTAAAGTATTTATCAATAGTATTAAAGGTCCCGTAAAGTATTTATGAATATTATTAAAGGTCCAGTAAAGTATTTATGAATATTATTAAAGGTCCAGTAAAGTATTTATGCATATTATTAAAGGTCCAGTAAAGTATTTATAAATGTTATTAAAGGTCCAGTAAAGTATTTATGAATATTATTAAAGGTCCAGTAAAGTATTTATGAATTTTATTAAAGGTCCAGTAAAGTATTTATGAATATTATTAAAGGTCCAGTAAAGTATTTATGAATATTATTAAAGGTCTAGTAAAGTATTTATGAATATTATTAATGGTCCAGTAAAGTATTTATGAATATTATTAAAGGTCCAGTAAAGTATTTATGAATATTATTAAAGGTCCAGTAAAGTACTTATGAATATAATTAAAGGTCCAGTAAAGTATGTATTAATATTATGAAAGGTCCAGTAAAGTAATTATGAATATTATTAAAGGTCCAGTAAAGTATTTATGAATATTATTAAAGGTCCAGTGAAGTAATTATGAATATTATTAAAGGTCCAGTAATGAAGGAATTCGAAGATTTTTAACAACGCTTGCTGGAGGAATACTAGGAAAACAGCAATGTTGGGACAGAATCATTTGTAAGGTATTTTCAATGCAATTTATTGATTTTTTAATTTTAGTTTTTCAATTTTTTTTCATCTTTTAATATCTTTAGGTCTGATGTTTTTCATCATTTATTTTGGTTAGCATTCTAAATTTTACGTTTTCCAACATTTTCCAAAAGTTTTTTTTACAAGAATTTATAAACACAAAACATTTCAAATTTTATCATTGCCATCCTAAATAAAGTTTTTGAAAAAAAAATATTTTTTTTTCCAGATGGGTGAGCTGATTGGTGGTGTTCAAGGAAAGCATATATTTTTCTTGTAAGTTTTTTTATTCATTTTACATTATCAATTCTGTGAAACTATCCCTATATATGACACTTCTTCTGCCACTTACATGCTCAAAATTTGGATGCCCTTTAAAGATAATAATAAGATATTAGATTTGCCTGATATGTTTAGCAGATTCTGAAGTATACATACAAATATTAAGATAATGAATATAATATAAGTTTAAGAAAATTAAGTTTTTTTAGAGGTCGTCTGTTATTAAATGTAAAAGACAGAAAAAATGTCCTTTGACCAAGAAAATCAAGTTTTAAAAGTGGCAAAATTCACAATGACTTAACCCAAAAACCTCGACCCTAATGTACATTGAGAAATATATTCCCCTTTTCTTTATCAAAGCATGCTGAATTCTGCCAATTTCCTTCATCGTCTTTGTGGCATAAATCTGCGGGTCACTTTTATCAGTTTAAAGTTTAAAGGGTACCGTTGTAAATTAAACGTTCCACACTTTCAATAGAGGGCTAATCAAAATTATCTCTACGGTTTAACACCGACCTATGGTGTACCGTCCCGTTTTGCCTTATATAGTCTGTTCTTGTACTGTACAGCGTGCACTAGCTTCATAAAATTCAGCCCGGTACTATAAATTATCTCTACGGTCCTAAACGGACCTATGGTGTACCGTCCCGTTTTGCCTTATATAGTCTGTTCTTGTACTGTACAGCTTACTCTAGTTGCTTGAAATTCGGCCCGGTACTTTAAATGAACTAGATTTTACAATGAGGAAAAATCAATAAATGACATTTTATTTAAATTCCAAATGATCTAGCTGTAATACTCTACTCTATTTAAAATGTAAATTATTATTATTACTATAGTACTTTTAAATCAATCAGTCAAACACTCAATCATTCGCTCAATCGATCGATCAATCAATCAATGAATCGATAAGACAATTAATCAAACTATGAATCAACCAACCGATTAACCAATTAATCATACAATGAATAAATGAATTATTAATGAATCAATCAATGAATCAAAGACTCAATCGACCAGTATAAGTCAATGAATGAATTAATCAACCAATCAATTAATAAATCAACCAACCAATGAATCAATGAACCAATGACTAACTAGGTTACTGGACCGAACAATACCTGTGGACTGGGCTGTATCAGTCAGTAAATGTATCAATCAATAACTAGGTTGTTGGATAGAACTATACCTGAGGACTGGGCTGTATCAATCAATCAATGAATCAATCAATCAATAACTAGATTGTTGGATAGAACTATACCTGAGAACTGGGCCGTATCAATAAATCAATCAATAAATAACTAGGTTGTTGGATAGAACTATACCTGAGGATTGGGCTGTATCAAGATCAGCTTTAAACCTCGCTAAGGAGGGAGCTCAAGATAAAACAACTTGTAACAGGTAACATCACGCTAATTTAACTTTACCTAATTATGTCAGGGTTGTATGGGAATGAGTCACTCAGAACTAGCAAGTACTAACTAAGTCCAGTTTGTTTTAGAATCTTTCACGCCAAACTAAATACATAAAGCTAATTGCGACCCGGGCTGTATCATATTCTTTAACCCAAAACTAACTCTACTCTAATTTTATCCAAATGTATTAAAGTCTTTCACGCCCGACTAACTATGGCTAATTATGTCCGAGCTGTATTGGAATCATTTATGCAAAACTGTATCGGAATCAGCCAAGGCGGAATAAATCATCATAATTCTTGAAAGAAAGCTTGGACTTTATGACCTTGCAAGCACCTTGATGCTAAACCTGATCTAAAATCGGAATTTTGCCATTCTAAAAAAAGTTTAACTTTATTTTTCAAGATAAGGTTCAGTTTGAAGCGATTTAAAAATGTTTTTTTTTTTGCATAAAAACCAATAACAGATGTTTAGTTTTAAAAAAGTACATGAATAATGGATATGGTCTTTGCTTATAAATCAGCAACAAGAAGATCCGATTCTTGAACTTTTTTTTTTTAAATGTCACTAGCTTTCGTCAGCTGAGCCTAATATCTGCTGTGGACGCTTTTAATTATCTTTTATTGGCTTGATCAATACAAAATCTAGACATGTAGACTGAAATTTTGATTTCTTTTATAGATATTTAAAAGATACAATTTTTTAAGGTTTTCCTGCAATGACCAGAGAGAGGAAGAAGTGTAAAAAAAGAAAGTTTTTGTTAAAATTTATTTATATTTCAAGAAAAAAATAAATGCTTATATAGAATAGATTTATTTATCAATTACATGTGTTTAAGATGCAGCGAACATTTCTTATTTTAAGATTTTAAAAATCTATAAAGATTTTTTTTATAAAAAAAGAATTACTTATAGAGACACCCGTTTTAATAAATTTAAACCGTTTGCTATTTATAAAATTGCTACTTATAAGTTTAACTGTAGATACACTTGCTACAAGTAATCCTTTAAATCAAACAAATTGAATTTTATTATCAAATTTAATATTTTAACAATGTTCCCTGGATTAAGAGTTTTCTTTGGATTTTTTCTTTATCTAATCTTATTTTTGGACAAAATTTTAAATCTTTTAAACCGCTGAGAAACTTAATGGGAAAATCAGCATTTTTTTAATTTAGCTTTTGATTTAAAGAAAGAAAGAAGACGACCACTTTTTTGGTCCTTACTGTACAACATTTTTCAAACCGGTTTCTGAACGTATAATAACGATAATTTTTCTTTCGAAAACCACAATTTTATCACAGAAATGTTACCGTTTAGTAAAATAATCAAATTAAGAATTTTCCTTATTCTGGGATTTTTTATAATTTAGAAAAAACAATTAATCAAACTAGAATCAATAAAAAAAAATGTAATATTAAAACAAAAACAAGTTTTATGTAGAGAAATGTTTCTACCATTTGCTAAATTAGATATTTATATGTTAAATATTAATAAATATTTCATATTTGAGCATCTGCAATCTATTCCATATTTGTGTACTCTCTCCCTTGGTTATATTTCCTAAAATAAAATATTATTTAAAGGGACTGTACGTGCAAAATTTAAATTAACCCTTAATTATAAGCAACACATGCCCTTCACGATGCTCTTCAGCCCTTTATTGAAAGATATCAACTCCTGAGCTGGGAACTTTAGAATGGGATACCTTTAATCCCAACTACTTAATCCGAATCGGAATATCTACTGTGGAAACTTTTAATTTTAGTCCTTAATCCACTCTTTTTCTCTCTCTTTGGATATCCGTATATTGTTTTCTCCAATGAGAGTGCAGGAATAAAGTTCGTAAATTGTATTGACCAATGACAGCCTTGAAAATAACTTCTTTCCTATGAGAGAAATCCGCAATTTCAAACAAATCAAAAATTTGCTGTCGGCCATTTTGTAAAATTAATCGTTGAAGAAAAATTTTTAATAATACGTTTGAGATTCTTTTGTAACAAATTTTAACTAATGTATTAATTAATAAATTTAAGGCTCTTCCAGTCAGGAAAACTAACCAATCTGGCGTTCTTAGATTCCAATTTGGTGATCTAGATATTTAATCTCAAGACTAACATAATCTTGAGATTATGTTAGTCTCGAGATTAGCAAAAACAGAGGATTAAGCATTAATCCTGATATCCACCATTCTAAAATTCCCAGCTCTGATTTACTAAGTCTGTCATTTTGATTCAACATTATGTTTTAAAAAACATCTGTCCTTTGATATTTGGCTCACAAATGCATAATTAAAAATGAATTGGCCAGGTATAGCATTAAAATTAGCTTTGCACTAGCTATGCCCATTTGCTAACAACAGATGGGATATTTTTATGTAAGTATATTGTAAATAGATGGGACATGTTTGTGTAAATATATTGTAAATATAGATGGGACATGTTTGTGTAAATATTTTGTAAATAGATTTAGCTAAATATGAATTTTACTTAGCTGAATTTTGCTTATTCGATTTAACTCTGAAATGTTCATCAAAAATAAAAAATTTTTAAGAAAAAAATGGAAGGTTAACTCCATCATGTCGGTTTTACAAGGGAACCGTTGTAATAGGACGTGACGCTGTATAAATAAATTTCCACCTGAAATTACGTCACTAGTCCCTTACAGGGAGTGTTCGCGAAAAATGAAAGGGGGTATGGGCTTAATGCGATAAAAAAGCACTTTTGATCGCTACTAATCTTACTTCTATCTGTTGCGTCTATAAGGAGAAAATTGTTAAAAACGACTCACACCGAAAAACGCAGCGTCCATACAAATTCGGAAAGATGCAACATTCAACTTGGATCGTAAACAATTATCAATTTAATTCCAAACAAATCATTCAGATATTACAAATTGTAGTCATTGATTATTTTTCGACGCATTCTTAATAGTTAATATTTCATAATATTTTTGATTTTGTTTTTTAAAATAATTTTCGCTGGCGACGGATTTTCGAAAATTCCTGGAAAATATGAAAATGTCGTCTTCATTATCAAAAATCCACGAAACAGGAATAAATGTTTTCAAAAGTAACTTTAAGATTATTAAAAATACAAAATATTATGAAATATCTACTATTTACGAATGTGTCGAAAAATAATCGATGACTATTGTTTGTAATATGTGAATGATTTGTTTGTAAAATGTTTTGTTTGTAAAAAAGGTTTGTTACCTTCCGATAAGATATGCCACCAAAGTGATAACAATCAGTCCAGCTGAAAAATAAATATGCATTCACTTTACATTATAAAAAATTGCTTAGATTTCAATGCAGTGCTTCAGATCCCTTCAATTTTGATGCGGATCCGCACTGGAAAAAATGGATCCGGATCCAGGTAATTTCTTTAAGATTTAATGATTTTTTTCAACAACAAAGCAGAATTTTCAAATTTTTTGTCTTATTTTATTCACTTACATTTATGCTAAAACTTGATAAACCATTCAAATTTTATAATCTCTTTTTCAATTGTTCATATTTGGATTTGGAAAGTACAAATTTTAATTTTGCTGTTAATTTTTGGCTGATATTTTGCTCTTTGTTTCCGGATCTGCGGATCCCCATAGTTTTAAGGATCCGGATCCAGGAAGCCAAAATCTTGCGGATCCAACGGATCAGGATCCGGATCCGGATTCTAAGCACTGGCTTCATTCAAACTTAGGTTCCCTGCTAATTATAGAAAAAAATAACAGAAAATTAAAAACCACGGCCCCTGGATTGACCCCACTTGATTTTGAACTTTAACCAAATTGGAATAAACCAAAGACGACGTGATTCATCTTACGTGAATCACTTTTTTAATAAAAACAAAATAAAAAATATTGGTTAAAGTAATTCTTTTTACCCTTTAAACCATGATAGCAGTAGAAAGGTACGCCCGTATATTGTCAAAAATCAACTCTATCGCGTAACGTTGCAATAAACGGTCACTCAAAATTTTATTTGTATTTTGCAACAGCAAAAAAATATTGCATTAAAAATAGACAGTTTCTCCAAATAAAACGTTTTATATTTCAAAAATATCACAAAACATTCTAAAATATATATTTATTATTAATCCAAAGTAAAATTCTGCTTATGTAAGTTTCTTAATCTATATTTAATAAAAAGAACAACCATCTATCAATATTCACCACATAAAATAATAACAATACTGATAGAACATTAGATGTCGTCTTTTCAAGATTTAAGGGTTTTTCGTTCAAAATAACCATGAGGCAGAAGCCCAAAGGAGTTACGCGCATTCCGCGTTAAATAGGACAGGACAGAAAGAGATCATGCGCGTAATTTCTTTGGGCTACTGCTTCAGGGTTATTGTGAACGAAAAACCCATGAAATTATGAAAAGACTAAATCTAGTGTTTTATCTGTATTGTTATTAATCTATGATTTACCTAGAACTGCTCCGACAACAATAGGAATAATATCATTCACAGGAGCGTCAGCAGCACAGTCACAGGGAGCCTTAGATTTACATAAATTTTTAGTATCTTTGGAAGAGAAAAAGATTAAAGAGACAACATTAATCTTCTTAGATTAACATAAATTATTATTATCTTTGGAAGAGAATAAGATTAAAGAAACAACATTAATCTTCTTAGATTAACATAAATTATTAGTATCTTTGGAAGAGAATGAGATTAAAGAGACAACATTAATCTTCTTAGATTTACATAAATTATTAGTATCTTTGGAAGAGAATAAGATTAAAGAGACAACATTAATCTTCTTAGATTAACATAAATTATTAGTATCTTTGGAAGAGAATAAGATTAAAGAGACAACATTAATCTTCTTAGATTAACATAAATTATTAGTATCTTTGGAAGAGAATGAGATTAAAGAGACAACATTAATCTTCTTAGACGGGGATGATTCAGTTTGTGTACTCTCTTAACATAAAATTAAATTTGCGTATCTAGCTTTGAAATTGTTAAAATATAAAAATGTCTTTCATTGTTTTTGGAGCAGAAGAAACCACAGTGGACATTCTATATTAAAAAACAATACGTTGATATACATATTCCCTATAGGCGGTCAAACGGCTGGACCGAATGGGCTAACATGTTTTGAGGTAACCCATGGGTATCCCGGCGGTAAATTAGGCCATCATGTTTTTTAATATGTTTTTATTCCACTGGCAGCTTCAGACACTTCAGCTAGCTTTTTAATAAGTAGATGGGATATACAAACCTCTTAAAATTACATCATCATGATATTTAACTTGTAAAGGTATTTTTTGTCGTGTTTGAAACGAGGCCTTTGTCACCCAGAAGAGAGGGTCACATAGAGCCAGACTGTTAAAAAAACTTGCATCATATATCACAACTGGATCAACTTTAAAGTGTCGCAACGCCTTGGTTTTTGATATCATCTCACCAACTTGTACTGTTTTCTTGCCATAGCTATAGACCTGTGCATTTTAGAATTATAAAACAGATTTATCACTTTGGTTTTTAAATTTTCATTGGCAAAAATTTCACCGTTTTTTTTGCACTAGAGCTTGCAACCTTTGGATCTATCTTATTATTGCCACTTCTAATTGTCCCCCCCCCCCTCCCTATTTTACGTCCCCCCCTGCACTTTGTTTTCCCTTGACTATATACTTCCGAAGAAGTTACTCAAAAGTTTACAAGAAACTGAATAATAAATACACTTTTATACTTTTACCTCAGATAAAAAAATTGTTTCTGTTTTTAAATTTTCAGCTATTTTAAAAACTTTTTGCGGATTAAATTCCCAAAACTTTCTGATAAAGACTATTTTTTATAAATGTAAGAACGTTTTTATTCCTATATTGTCCCTTTTTAAAAAAATCTCTAAATTAAAAAATGTGTGGGGGGAGGGGGTTTAAAATTAAGTATTTAAGTCAAGTTCTTTATTGAACAAATGGATAAGATTTTATCCTCATACTTTCTTCTTTTTTCTTTAATTTTTAATTTTCTTTTCTGATAAATATTTAATGTAAGTGAACCTCTAGATTATTACAGTTTTAAAAAATAATGAAATTTTTGTGAAAAAGTTTATTAACTTAATTGAAAGGAAATTATATATTAAATTCCTTTTCTGAACAAATAAACATGTATTTTAAGAGACATTGTATCCATTAATCCATTAAAAAATGTTTTTAATTTGTTTTGGCAAAACTTTCAATCCACATTTTTTTGCTTTAAATGTACTCGAATATGAAATTAATAATTGTCAATGTGGAAAATGATAATATATTCTATTTTGACTTAATCGTCGAAAAAAAGTTTAATCATAATTTGCAGTTTGGAGAATTTGCAGAACTTGCCTTTTTTCATGAGCTTATTGCATAAGCTAAATTTAAATTTTGTCTGTGTACAGCCTACAGGGTTTCCTATTGAACTGATAAGGTCAAATGTAAAAAATTTTCTTAGGACATATTTTTTACATTTATCATTTTTGAAGAAGCCCCAATAAAAACAAAAAAAATCTCGATTTTTTTTTGGGGGGGGGGGGGAAATAAGAAAAAAAATATGGGCTTAAAAAGTGACATTTAAAGGCAAAATTTTTTCTCCAAACAACGAACTACCCTAAAATTTTAGTTTTAAAGCATTTGCACTCTAATTTATAATACCTATAGTGAAAAATGTAAATGGTAAAAGGCTATTTTGTAATTCTGCAAAACTGTGCAATTTTTGCAAGATAAACCATAAAGATATGAAAATTGTTCTTTGGTTGTATTTTGTTTACATTTGCTATGCAGTACAAAATATAAACAACCATATTATAATCACCAGACAAAATATAAACAACCATACTATAATCACCAGACAAAATACAAACAACCATATTATAATCACCAGACAAAATATAAACAACCATATTATAATCACCAGACAAAATATAAACAACCATATTATAATCACCAGACAAAATATAAAATCATTTACGAAGATAACTTTGTTTTCACAATTCCAATGTTTCTTTGGAACACCTTAGGGGTGACTCTGTTCAATCAAAAAGTGTTGTTTTCGATCAGGAATAAATAGAGCAAATATATCAATTATTCGCATTCATTCAAACTTTTCAATTGAAGAAGGTGTAAATAAAATATTTTCAACGATCTCGAAAAATATTTTTGTAAAATACAGTTTTTTCCTAGATACGTTTTAATACTTTTATTTTTCAATTGTTAGAGCTCTTTCTTTCGATCTTCTACTTTTTGTTATTAGTTTTTAGAAAAAGGGGGTGGCCTAAAAAAGCATGCTAAAAAACGCGTGACATTTTTCCACCTTAAATAATTAGCTTTAAAACTGTTCCTGCTGGAATTTACTTACTGGCGCTGCGAGTTTTGTTATTTTTTCTCTTAGAAACTGCAGTACACTGGCATATACTGCAGTAAACTGGTATATACTGCAGTACACTGGAATATACTGCAGTACACTGGCATTTACTGCAGTACACTGGTATATACTGCAGTACACTGGTAAATACTGCAGTACACTGGTATATACTGCAGTACACTGGTATATACTGCAGTACACTGGTATATACTGCAGTACACTGGTATATACTGCAGTACACTGGTATATACTGCAGTACACTGGTATATACTGCAGTACAATGGTATATACTGCAGTACACAGGTAATACTGCAGTACACTCGTATATATTGCAGTACACTGTTATATACTGCAGTACACTGGTATATACTGCAGTACACTGGTATATACTGCAGTAAACTGGTATATACTGCAGTAAACTGGTATACAATGCAGTTCACTGGTATATACTGCAGTACACTTGTTTTTGTAAATTTAGATGTACCTGAAATTCTTCTGGTTTTGTTGAATTTACACGGAAAGCATCAAATTTGATATTCTTGAAGGATAAGGTCAGATTTCTTGAAACAGGCGGCTTTACGGTCGTCATCTTGGCTGTTGTTGTTACGTTAACCGTTGTTGGTTTTGTGGTTGTTGAAACATTAACTGTTGTTGGATTTACAGTTGTTGTTACGTTAACGGTAGTTGTTACGTCGTCATTATTGACAGACCTCACAAACCTTGATTGGTTAGATTTGGCTGTTTCTGTAGTTGTTGGTGTGGTTTCAGTGGTTGTGGGTGTGGTTACTGTGGTCGTTGGTGTAGTTACAGTGGTTGTGGGTGTGGTTGCAGTGGTTGTGGGTGTGGTTTCAGTGGTTGTGGGTGTGATTACAGTGGTTGTGGGTGTCGTTACAGTGGTTGTGGGTGTGGTTACAGTGGTTGTGGGTGTGGTTACAGTGGTTGTGGGTGTCGTTACAGTGGTTGTGGGTGTCGTTACAGTGGTCGTTGGTGTGGTTACAGTGGTTGTTGGTGTTGTTTTAGTGGTTGTTGGTGTTGTTTTAGTTGTTGTTGGAGTTGTTTTAGTGGTTGTTGGTGTCGTCTTGGTTGTTGAATGAGCTGTTGTTGTTGTCTCTTCCTTTACTTCTATTGAGAAGTCCTCTGAAGTCAGACAGCTGGATAGATTTATAGATAGATATAGATATTTATATTTGGCGAGGATTGAATCGGAATAATTAAAATAAAACTCTTCCTCACTCGAAGAGAGGGATGGGCATCGAAATTTTTTTTGTTAATTTTAAATATGAAGAAAGGAATTTTAAGTAAAAATTTAATTTTTGATGATAAAAAACGTAGGTTTCAAATTGTTTCTCGTGGTCCCAAAAGTTTTTTCCAATTGTTGACAATGGTTCCCAATTGTTTATAATGGTTTAAAATTGCTTAAAGTGGTTTCTGATTGTTTTCAATGGCACCTAATTTTTTTAAATGGTTCCCAATTGTTTCAAATTGTTCCCAATTTTTTTCAATGGTTTCCAACTGTTTACAATGGTTCCCAATTGTTTACGAATGGTTCCCAATTGTTTACGAATGGTTCCCAATTGTTAAAAAAGGTTCCCAATTATTTACATTGATTCCCAATTGCTTTTAATGGTTGCCAATTGTTTCCAATAGTCCCTAGTTGTTTCCGATGTTTAGCAGTTCTTAATTGTCTTAAATGAATCCCAATTGTTTACGAATGGTTCCCAATTGTTTACGAATGGTTCCCAATTGTTTACAATGGTTCCACATTGCTTACAATGGTTTCCAATTGTTTACAATGGTTCCACATTGTTTACAATGGTTCTCAATTGTTTGCAATGGTTCCCCATTGTTTACAATGGTTTCCAAGTGTTTAAAAATGGTTTAAAAATATCTAAAAGGACGTAAAACATTTTCTTGTCAAGCAATTTTAGATTGGTTTTTATACTTGAGTTTGGTTATCACACAGTAGGTGATTATATCGATACAATGAAGACGACTTTCGATTTAAATTTTGATTTAAATCAAGCTGTTAAACAGTATGGTTACACAAAAAACATAGAAGTCAAGGAAGATATATTAAAAAACTTCTTTTTAGTTACTTGCAACTTGTAATTTGAAAAAAGCTTGTTAACAATCAAATTTTAAATAAAAAAGTCGTCTTCATTATACTGATTTGATTGCCTACCACTGTAGCATTTTATAGGAGTTTTAAAAAAGTTTTGCACCTTTACTTTCTTGAATGAGAGAGAAAGATATTTTACATCGAAAACTTATTTCAATTTCTTTCAATTTATCAATTAAAGTAAGCTTTTCTTAGAAAATTTCAAATATCGAAATACGTTAATTGAATCAGAAAATTCATTTCAAATTATCAAAAGACTATTTTCTTCAGAATTTATTTAATGCTTCTGATTAAATAAAATCTACGATAGGAAATTATACAGAAACTTTTTTAACACAATTAGAAAATAGATTTAAGCTAATCTGAAGGGATACAGAAATTAAAAATGTTGCTCAAATATTTCATTATTTCACCTGTAACTGTTGTTGATTTTTGTGAGGAAAAGTCTGGGTGAGAAAATGTGAGAAAATTCTAAAACTTGTTCCACTGTTGTATTAGTCTTATTATTCCTTAACAGTTTAAATCCAATTTATACAAGCATTGGAACAGACGTGCTAACAGAGGGAAAGCAGTTCTGTATAATTGCGTCTATTTCATAAAAATTCATACTAACTAAAAATTTGGCATATGGTGAATAAATCATTTAGGCAATTGGTAATAAAGCTTAACTTAGTCTAAAACGCAGTTTAAAACTGAGAAAGAGATACATATTAGAATAAATATTAAAATAATAATAAATAAATAAATAATAAAAAATCCCTTAACACACCAAGAAAAAATCCTCTTAATCCCCTAAATCCTCAAAAATCTCTAATATACATAAATATAAGGATCAGAAAATTTGAGTTTGTGACAAAAACTCGTTTCCTTTGAATCTAGGAGTTTATAAATAGCTAGCTCGGGTATCCAGCTTTATCTGGAAAAAATCAGTCAAAAACCTTCACAATCTTGATTCTTTAAACCAAGGTAAGACCATGTCGGTGGTTCTACAGAGTTCTTCAATCAAATATTGATCTAGGGGTTCATGAGTTATATAGATAATTAGTGAACTGTGTCTTAATAGGGTTATGGAGGAGAGCTGCAGTAGAAATAGACTTAAAAATTCTAATATATTTTTCTTAGAAAAACTATTGAATACCTAGTATATACGTCAGCCATTCCAGATATCATTGAAATTCCGTAGATTTCTTCCTACAAATCACAAAAGAGTAAATTTAGAACTGATCTTTTTAAGCAGAAAACATTTTGAAATTATCTTCATATACCATTGCTGAACTAAAATGTTTAACAGATTGTTCCAAAAATTATAGAAAACATAAAATACTTGATTTCTGTAAATTTTTTTGGTGCCTGTTACGAATTTAGAGCTTATGTTACAGTCATCTTATTTTCAGAACACGAAAACTTTCGCGAAAAAATGCGAACATTTTCGTTCGTATTTCGCAAACTTTTTGCGAAAATGAATTGTGCGAAAAAATGCGAAAAAAATGCGAAATTTCGCGAAAAAAAAAAACTCCGCGAAAACTAGAGCAATTAATTGTGCAAAAAACTTGTGGACTTCTCTGCTCTGAGAGCTCAGCATTAGAAGTTGTATTATATCATACTTAAGAAATAAATAATAATACAGATTAAAGCGAAATTTTGCAACAAAAAAAACAACAAAAATGTTCGCATTTTTCGCGAGCAAACGAAAAAAAATCTCGCAAAAAATGCGAAATTTTCGCTAAACGATTTACCCTTTTCGCTAAAAACGCTAGTCTAGGTGTATTACACTTTTTAAACAAATAATTTTAATGTTTACATAAATGAGAAAGATTCCAATTAACTATCATAATATGGAAGTTTGATGAACTATAATATTGTAAAAAGAGATAAAAAATTTGTAAGTTTTGGTTAAATCAAATTATTCTTGTAGGTTACTTAAGAAAAAATGTATGTCACAAAGGGGTTATTTCTAGACAAAGAAAAGGTAATTTCAATTCTATTTCAATAAAAATTATCTAATTGAAGGGACTGTAAAGGAAAAATTAAACGGGGTATAGGATGAAAGCTAATCACTTTATACACCCTTTCTTCTTTCCTTTACAGTCCCTTTAAAATAGATTTTTTTACAGTTGTACGGGTTGGGATAAACATCGTTCAGTATTTTATTTTCTAAACAATTGTTTTCTGTTTTAATTCTTCATTTGGGGAATCGTTTTGATTTTAAAGCGAAGCGATTTTTTTTTCAAAACGATTTTTTTAAATGATCGCTTTAAAAGTTTCCCTAAACATTGAAACGAGTTTTGAAAAAAAAATTACCCATCCCCATTTCATCGTCATGTATGTGTTGTATGTGTTACCGTTGTATTTGCTGTTATTGTAAACATCATGCTTCGTTTCAAGGGTAGAGATGCGTTGATTTTATTCACGTCTGTCCAAGTCAATATTAACATCTGGGAATACAAATACACCATTTTATACAGAGTGTTCCAATAAACATGGGAATACAAATACACCATTTTATACAGAGTGTTCCAATAAACATGGGAATACAAATACACCATTTTATGCAGAGTGTTCCAATAAACATGGGAATACAAATACACCATTTTATACAGAGTGTTCCAATAAACATGGGAATTAAAAGACAACTTAAAATTCCTAATCGATTTCCGTTATTTGATAGAAACAAAATTGTATCAAAATAAAGAATGAGATTTTGAAAATGAAGTCTGAATCAATTTATATCTTTAAAACTGACGAGATCACAAACATTTGAAAGACTTCGTTGTTGTTTTTACTAAATTTGAATCTGGACAGATATCCTAATATCTCAGTCAATGTTGAAGGTGCAAATATGTTAAACCAGATTTTGGAATTAATTGTCAGCTGTTTGAACACTGGGAAACTACACTACGATACAGAAGCAGTCACTTAGTTTCTTAGTATATTGGGACACCCTATTTATACAGGAAACAGAGTAGCATCAACGATTCACAACGGTGCCATGTTAGAAAAGACTAAATTTTTGTTCTAAATAGCTTCTAAAATTATTAATGAAATATTCTGGTTAAACAAAACTTTCATAATTTCGAAATCATTTATCAATAGAAATCACGGGCAAATTATAAAGATTTCTTCTAAAATATCTTTGTCAATTAAATGATAATGATAAAATTCGTATTCCTTCTTCAAAATTGTTGATTTGATTTACTGCTTATAGATTAAGAACTTAAGAAAAAGCCTTTATTATTGACTGTTAGCATAATTTCAAGTGACCCTCCATGAAAGGATGACAATGCCCGATTTACAACAGTACTATAACCCGTTAAACCCTTATCTGATTATATATTTTAAACTTGTAAATCAGGCATTGTCGTTGTCGTCTTTATTATCAATATTTCAATTTCGCGGAATTTTGCAAAAAATGAATCCTTTGACCTTATTTTCGTCTATAAATTTTTAATGAAAATACAAAACCTGAGTATTATTTCCGGAAGAGCAATTTCCGGAAGCCTTCACATCTGTCCTGGACGGATCAATCTAATTTCCCGGATTTCAATAAAATATATTTTACATTTCAATTTGAAAACTTCTTTCATCTTTTCTCCAACTTATTTGTCTCACTAAAAAATCTTGGATTTACATAATTTCAGAACATTAACATTTACAGAATTGTTTGTTTTTCACATTTTTCACCTTAAATTCAATTACGTCAAAAAAAATATAAAAGAGAGAAAGAAAAACCATTGATCAAATCGTCAAACGTACATCAAAATTATCCATTTAAAATAAGAAATTAATCCATTGGCCAAAAAAAATTTTGAAAAAAATAAACAGGGAAATAAAGCATTTCTAAGCTTATGTAATTAGGCTCATCGATGATTTTTTGAACAAAGCCATTAATTTGAAAATATCTCAAGTTTGATTGTTTGATGTCTCGGTGTAAAACCAAAATGCCATTTGTGGTTTAAAGATGAACATTACATAGTTAATATTATTTAATATAGATGCAGTTCTACCTTTTACATAGAGATGTACGCGTTCGGCTATTTCCATTTCGTTCGTTTACATAAGTGAACGACCCATTTGGTTAGATGTTTTGTTTGATTTCGTTCGCTCTCAAAATTATTATTGTTCATTTTTCATCATAATTAGTTCGTTTCCTCACTATAAAGGATTGTTAAATTTCTATAAACAATCCAAGCCGTTCGTTTTTAGAAATTCTGTTCATTGACCAAAAACAATACCCATCTCTACTGCTACATTTTAGATAGATTTACAGAGACAGATAATTAATTTTAACGTTTTAATTTTACTTCATATAAAATAATTCTAAAGAGTTAAGGTGCAAATTTAAAAGTTCTTTTTTATACTAAGGAGTTGAGTTTTTGCCACAAACTCTGATTTTCTAATCTCTATATCTTTGTGAATTAACAAACTATTAATACTTATAGATTAAAAGTCTAAGTTTGAAATATCAAAGGTTTGCACCATAAGATTACAAAGATATTGGAATCAGAAGATTTTAGTTTGTGGCAAAAACTCGATTCATTTAAGGAGATAAATTGCAATTTAATGATTTTACCTTAAATACTAATAGATTGGAAATTTCGAATTTATGATTGAATTGATCTCAAAAGACAAACTGCAAATTTCTTTCCGCTTGAATTTCTTTCAAACGATATATTATTTTACAATTCTGATTTAAAACATTTCTTTCTCTAGAGATTGTTTGTAGATTTCAATTTTTTATTTTTTTTTTTTGGGGGGGGGGTGGGGATTTGTATATTTGTTTATATATATTTTTTTAAAGATCAGCTTGAAAATTTGCATTTAAATGATTTATTCAAACAGATAAATTACAATTTCAATAATTTCATTTTTTAAAAAAAGTTTTCAAATCAAAGTTTAGATTACAAATTTGATTATTTTGATTTAAATGAAACATATATTTCAACTATGCCTAATTAAAGATTCTAACGTTAAATCATTCTAAAGCTTCCCATCCCCTCTCCTTTTATCAACTACCGCCCCTCCCCCCCATCCTCAGCATGACCAAACATACAAAGCATTTATAATTTTCGTCTCAGTACTGCACACTGTGCACATAGTGGTTCAAGAATTATCATGAACTTTATAATTATAATATAAGTTAAGAGGAACTGAAGTCGTTATTTACAAATATCTTTCCATTTACCACAGAACCCTTTAAACATTCCGATTAAAAATGATTGAGATATTTATTTTTATTTCTTTAAAAATTGAATATTTTTATTGTGGTTTCTTGGCAAAGGTGACTTGCGCATTCCGTCTGAAAAAAGAAGTAAATTATCAGAATTGAAAGATTTTCCACAGAATTATCTTATACAAGTTTAATGAGAATGAATTGGAGGATTGCTTGAAAATGCGCCTTCAGTCCCTTCAAATTTACCAATTAACTGTTTATTTACACTCGAGCAAACAAACAGTTTTCACGCCTCAACATTCAACAAAAGTCTTTGTCGCAGAATCTGAAAATAGATTTGATACATTTGTTGTTTCAATGTAGTCTTGGCATCCAAAATAATCCATGGATGTAAACCAATTTTCGATGTTTTTAGTACACTTGACATCCACAATAATCAAAGGGTGTAAACCAATTCTCGATGTTTTGATAAGACTTGATATCCACAAAAATCAAAAGGTGTAAACCCAATTTTCTTTTTAGTACACATGCCATCCACACTAATCAAAGGGTGTAAACCAACTCTCGATGTTTTTAGTACACTTGACATTTACACTAATCAAAGGGTGTAAACCAACTCTCGATGTTTTTAGTACACTTGACATTTTCACTAATCAAAGGGTGTAAACCAATTCTCGATGTTTCTATAAGACTTGATATCCACAGTAATATAAGGGTGTAACCCCAATTTTCTTTTTAGTACACATGCCATCCACACTAATCAAAGGGTGTAAACCAACTCTCGATGTTTTTAGTACACTTGACATTTACACTAATCAAAGGTTGTAAACCAATTCTCGATGTTTCTATAAGACTTGATATCCACAGTAATATAAGGGTGTAACCCCAATCTTTTTTCTAGTACACTTGACATCCACAATAATCAAAAGGTGTAAACCCAATCTAATATAAGTGATTATATGAATATAAAATGTATATGAAACAATGGATTTGAGTCTTAGCCTGCACAAACTTAAATTTTCTAATCCCTAGGCGTTGTGACATTTCATGAAAAGACATTTCATTAAAAGACATTTCCTAGAAAGACATTTCCTAGAAAGACATTTCATAAAAAGACATTTTATTGATAAGATATTTCATAGACAGAGAAGCTTTTTCATACACAGAGGAGATTTCTTTTACAAATGATATTTTTTTCTAAATTATTTTATAATTACATTTTTTTCTTTAAACTCAATTTTTTTAATTCGATTTTTTTTTAATTTCACGGGCAACGCGGATAAACGGCATGAGTAACTATGATTAAATTAAAACTTAAAACTTTTAAATAGACAGAAAAGATTTAACAGATGAAATAAGTTCATAAAAAACAAATAAAATACTCTTCATGTAATGTTTTAAAATTTAAAATTAAATCTAAAAAATTTAGAAAAAAATTTCTCAATACGAAATCTCCTCTGTCTATGAAAAATCTTCTCTGTCTATAAAATGTCTTATTTATGAAATGTCCTATCTTTGAAATGTCTCTTTATGAAATGTCACAACGCTTCTATTCTTTGCAATCTGAGCCTGTAAACATTCAAATTATCTGATTTAGATTTTTTTATCTAATATCTAATTCATAGTTTGAAATATCTAAGGTCTAAGACAATAGTTGGTCTAGAAAATAGTTGGTAAAGAAAATAGTTGGTTTAGAAAATAGTTGATTTAGAAAATAGTTGGTTTAGAAAATAGTTGGTTTAGAAATTAGTTGGTTTAGAAAATAGTTGGTTTAGAAAATAGTTGGTTTAGAAAATAGATGGTTTAGAAAATAGTTGGTTTAGAAAATAGTTGGTTTAGAAAATAGTTGGTTTAGAAAATAGATGGTTTAGAAAATAGATGGTTTAGAAAATAGTTGGTTTAGAAAATAGTTGATTTAGAAAATAGATGGTTTAGAAAATAGTTGGTTTAGAAAATAGTTGGTTTAGGAAATAGTTGGTTTAGAAAATAGTTGGTTTAGGAAATAGTTGGTTTAGAAAATAGTTGGTTTAGAAAATAGTTGGTTTAGAAAATAGTTGGTTTAGAAAATAGTTGGGTTAGAAAATAGTTGGTAAAGAAAATAGTTGGTTTAGAAAATAGTTGATTTAGAAAATAGTTGGTTTAGAAAATAGTTGATTTAGAAAATAGTTGGTTTAGAAAATAGATGGTTTAGAAAATAGTTGATTTAGAAAATAGTTGGTTTAGAAAATAGATGATTTAGAAAATAGTTGGTTTAGAAAATAGATGGTTTAGAAAATAGTTGGTTTAGAAAATAGTTGGTTTAGGAAATAGTTGGTTCAGAAAAAAAATTGGTATAGAAAAAGTTGGTTTAGAAAATAGTTGGTATAGAAAATAGATGGTTTAGAAAATAGTTGGTTTAGAAAATAGTTGGTTTAGAAAATAGTTGGTTTAGGAAATATTTGGTTTAGAAAATAGTTGGTTTAGGAAATAGTTGGTTTAGAAAATAGTTGGTTTAGGAAATAGTTGGTCTAGAAAATAGTTGGTTTAGAAAATAGTTGGTTTAGAAAATAGTTGGTTTAGGAAATAGTTGGTTTAGAAAATAGTTGGTTTAGGAAATAGTTGGTCTAGAAAATAGTTGGTTTAGAAAATAGTTGGTTTAGAAAATAGTTGGTTTAGAAAATAGTTGATTTAGAAAATAGTTGGTTTAGAAAATAGTTGGTTTAGAAAATAGTTGATTTAGAAAATAGTTGGTTTAAAAAATAGTTGGTTTAGAAAATAGATGGTAAAGAAAATAGTTGGTTTAGAAAATAGTTGGTTTAGGAAATATTTGGTTTAGGAAATAGTTGGTTTAGAAAATAAATGGTTTAGAAAATAGTTGGTTTAGAAAATAGTTGGTTTAGGAAATAGTTGGTTTAGAAAATAGTTGGTTTAGAAAATAGTTGGTTTAGAAAATAGTTGGTTTAGAAAATAGTTGGTTTAGAAAATAGTTGGTTTAGAAAATAGTTGGTTTAGAAAATAGTTGGTTTAGAAAATAGTTGGTTTAGAAAATAGTTGGTTTAGAAAATAGTTGGTTTAGAAAATAGTTGGTTTAGAAAATAGATGGGTTAGAAAATAGTTGGTTTAGAAAATAGATGGGTTAGAAAATAGTTGGTATAGAAAATTGTTGGTTTAGAAAATAGTTGATTTAGAAAATAGTTGGTTTAGAAAATAGTTGGTTTAGAAAATAGTTGGTTTAGGAAATATTTGGTTTAGAAAATAGTTGGTAAAGAAAATAGTTGGTATAGAAAATAGTTGGATTAGAAAATAGATAGTTTGGAAAATAGTTGGTTTAGGAAATAGTTGGTTTAGAAAATAGATGGTTTAGAAAATAGTTGCAGTTTAGAAAATAGTTGGTATAGAAAAGAGATGGTTTAGAAAATAGTTGGTTTAGGAAATAGTTGGTTTAGAAAACAGTTGGTAAAGAAAATAGAAAAACTCTTTATTATCGATGTTGGATTTCTACCAAAAAATACGTTCTAGACTTTCATTGAAACTCTCTTAATGGTTTATCAGTAATAATTATTTTTTTATTAATTATTAATTGAAATATTCCTGCAGTGTCTCAGTAAGGTTTGATTCCAGGGGTAGAACCAGGGATACATTCATGGAGAGCATTATACACCCCTGCACCGTCCAGTTACTCTAGATAGATATATAGATAGATAGATAGATAAATAAATAGATAGATAGATAGATAGATAGATGGATAGATAGATAGGTAGATAGATAAATATACATATATAGATAGATAGATAGATATATAGAATATAGATGGATATATAAATAGATAGATAGATTGGTAGATAGATAAATAGATTCGTAGATAGATAGATAAATAGTTAGAAAGAGGTGTTAAGTACGTGTTAAGCTATTCTCTTTTAAATATTTTGAGTCACATTAAAATGAATTAAATGTTCAAATGTATACTTTCAACCTTTACTGCGAAATCATGAAATATAACGTTTTATTTAAACATTAAATGTCATGATTTATATTAAAGAACCTGTCAAATCATTCGTTGGGATGTTTAGAAAGATGAAAATTTCCCTTATAGATATTTGCAATCATCCAGAACAAAAAGTTTTATCAAAAATTTAACTTAAAAAGTTTTATAGAAGTTTTTAAAAATATGCAAAAAAAATCATTTCTGACACCCCTAGGCTTTGTACGCCAATATAATTCACCAAAACCATACTACAGTCCTTCAATTATCATACAGGGAAATTTTCATCTTTCTAAACATCCCAACGAATGATTTGACAGGTTCTTTGATATAGATCCACTATTTACAGATAGATTCACTGTACATTTTTAGTTGTTAATTATTCAAAAGTACTTTGTTGAAAATGTATCCCAAGATATGTACTTAGAGGAGTCGTTTTAAGGCCATCAGTCTAAAAATTGTTGGAATTTAGGGCGGTTAAGCAAGTTTTAGATTTTTTTTTCAAAAATGCAATTTTCTTTAATTTTGCGGAATTCTAGTCATTGAGAATTTGAGACGAACAACGTTGTAATTCAAATGAGCGAATGCCCATTTCACTTGACTCATATTTCAGAAGCTTATCTGAGAGCTCAATAATTGCAAAATATTAGATTTTTTTTATTTTTTTATTCTTTTTAGATAAAATCCTAAATATCGATTTTGGTAACTTTTAATGTCAAATATCAAACAATCAAAATATCAAAATATTCTTAGTATAAAATATCAAAGATTTACACCATTAGGTTTTGTATAACTGTACAATGTACATTAAATACAAGGTTTGTATTCTCAAATGAAATAAAAATATTGACCTATTACAAGACTTTTTTTTGTATCAAATCATACTGAAACCAGAAAAAAACTATTAAATAACGTCTCAAAATTATAATACTTTTTCCCAGATATTTTTTATTAAAAAGAACACCTATTCATTAGCTCTAAACAGGTTTTTTGACATCACTACTTAAAATATTGAAATACTCGTTTTGCAAATTAAAATAAAAAAATGTGCTTTTTTCATCAATTGTTTGTTACTTGTTTACATTTTCGAGCCATATTCTTCATTTCCAAAAACATAAACTTCGGTTTAAACTATTAGAGTTTTTAGAGACACCCAGTATATATCTACAGATTCCTAATAGTATTATTCAAATAGATTATCAAGAACAATAGGTGGCAACAGAGAAATTAACCAATTATACACGACGTCACAAGTGTCAAATATAACAAGGAAAGCGAAATTTTCTCACATTAGTTGACATGTTTTCCAAGATTAAATAAAAAAGTGTAAAAACAGAACAAATAAAATTACATTTATTTTATTGTAAGAAAGCACTTTATTCTAAAATTATCACTATTATTGATGATTTTGTCTGACACAAAAACTGAATTGACGACAGAATACAACTGTACTGAGAGTGTACAAATTCTACGTTGCCATCTATTGTACTAGAATCTATTTGGTATTATTGACCTATACCCTATACACTATACAGTATACACTGTACTCCCCCCTTGTCACCCGATTTCTGCATTGAACGCAATGCGTAAAAGGTATAAAAGCAATAGTTTGCGTCAAAGCATCATCAGTTGATCTTACTTCGTACGCATTTATTAATATGAAGGTAAGGTATGACGCTAAATGTAATCTTTACGCATTGAGTATTCACAATTTATTACTCATCATTGTAAATATGATAACATAAAAATGCTGACATACCAGAAAACGTTATCTTTGCAACCTGACAGATATTTCCATAAATTAAAAATCAAAGTTGAAAACATCAAATGTTTACTGCATCAGGTTCCAAAGATATAAAGTGTTAATGTGGGAAAAACTTAGTTCTATTAAATATTCGACTATTTTCTAATTTATGGTTTTTAAAAGTCAAGTATCCTAGCATATTACATATGAAACTTATCACATCATTTATGATTTTTTCGGGCTTTAACAGCTTTAACAGCTTTAACAGCTTTATTAGCTTTATTAGCTTTATTAGCTTTAACAGCTTTAACAGCTTTAACAGCTTTTACAGCTTTTACAGCTTTTACAGCTTTATTAGCTTTATTAGCTTTAACAGCTTTAACAGCTTTATTAGCTTTATTAGCTTTATTAGCTTTAACAGCTTTAACAGCTTTAACAGCTTTTACAGCTTTTACAGCTTTTACAGCTTTAACAGCTTTATTAGCTTTAACAGCTTTAACAGCTTTATTAGCTTTAACAGCTTTAACAGATTTAACAGCTTTATTGGCTTTAACAGCTATAAGAGCTTTCTTAGCTTTAACAGCTTTAACAGCTTTAACAGATTTAACAGCTTTAACAGCTTTCACAGCTTTAATAGCTTTTACAGCTTTTACAGCTTTAACCGCTTTAAAAGCTTTAACAGTCGCCTTTTGAATTTTATTTAAGATATTTACTCACTTTATTTAATTTGTTGTTAAATAGGGTTATTGTAAGTTTCTGGACTATTTTAAAAACTTATTTTTCTTAAATTTCTCGATTTATTATTTCCGAATTTCCTCGAAATCTGAACATTTAATTTAATTGGTAGAAAAAGAATTACGATTTTGTTGCAAACGTTTAAAATCATTATTTTTAAAGGGAGGGGGGGGGAGGGGGGCAACCTTTAAAGGGACTATAGACGTAATTTCAAGTATTCTATATTTTTAAAGTGGCGCTTTAAATTAAAACAATCTTTTTAAACCTTTGACTATATAAAAGGATGAAAGATTTATCTCTGATCATCTAAAAATAAATTGGAAATATTTAAGACTTTTTCCCAAGCTCTTCTTATTGAAGAAATATTAACATTTACATAATAGAAGTCGTAAAATAATGTTGTTCAAAATTTTGCAAATCGCGTTTGAGATCTTCGAGGATTTTACGTAATCTTCATTGAGTTCCAATGGCCTTGAAAAGACACCATTCTTAAATAATGGGACATTCCCTTATCTTATGGAAGGTCACTTAAACTTACGCTTACAGTTCCTTGAAAGATATTGCAGGAATTACAGTTCCTTGAAAGATACTGCAGGAATTACAGTTCCTTTAAGGATACTGCAGGAATTACAGTTCCTTTATAGATACTGCAGGAATTACAGTTCCTTTAAAGATACTGCAGGAATTACAGTTCCTTTAAGGATACTGCAGGAATTACAGTTCCTTTAAGGATACTGCAGGAATTACAGTTCCTTTAAAGATACTGCAGGAATTACAGCTCCTTTAAGGATACTGCAGGAATTACAGTTCCCTTAAAGATACTGCAGGAATTACTGTTCCTTTAAAGATACTGCAGGAATTACTGTTCCTTTAAAGATACTGCAGAAATTACAGTTCCTTTAAGGATACTGCAGGAATTACAGTTCCTTTAATGATACTGCAGGAATTACAGTTCCTTTAAAGATACTGCAGGAATTACAGTTCTTTTAAAGATACTGCAGGAATTACTGTTCCTTTAAAGATACTGCAGGAATTATAGTTCCTTTAAAGATACTTCAGGACTTACAGTTCCTGTAAAGATACTGCAGGAATTAGTGTTCCTATAAAGATACTGCAGGAATTATAGTTCCTTTAAAGATACTTCAGGACTTACAGTTCCTGTAAAGATACTGCAGGAATTAGTGTTTCTATAAAGATACTGCAGGAATGACTGTTCCTTTAAAGATACTGCAGGAATGACTGTTCCTTTAAAGATACTACAGGAATTACAGTTCCTTTAAAGATACTGCAGGAATTACATTTCCTTTAAAGATACTTCAGGAATGACTGTTCCTTTAAAGATACTGCAGGAATTACTGTTCCTTTAAAGATACTGCTGGAGTTATAGTTCCTTTAAAGATACTGCAGGACTTACTGTTCCTTTAAAGATACTGCAAGAATTACTGTTTCTTTAAAGATACTGCAGGAATTACTGTTCCTTTAAAGATACTGCAGGAATTATAGTTCCTTTAAAGATACTGCAGGACTTACAGTTCCTTTAAAGATACTACAGGAATTACAGTTCTTTTAAAGAAAACTGCAGGAATCACAGTTCTTTTAAAGATACTGCAGGAATTACTGTTCCTTTAAAAATACTGCAGGAATTACAGTTCCTTTAAAGATACTACAGGAATTACAGTTCCTTTAAAGATAATGCAGGAATTACAGTTCCTTTAAAGATACTGCAGGAATTATAGCTCCTTTAAAGATAATACAGGAATTACTGTTCCTTTAAAGATACTGCAGGAATTACAGTAATTGAGCAGTAACAATTGATGAATTTGTAATTCTGTAAAATTGGTAAATAGAGCATTAAAGTAAAAATACTTCAATCAGCAAAATGAAATAAAGTACAAATTAAAAAAAATTAAGCACAAGTTGCGTGAAATCTAGTTATTCAGTCCATAATTAGTTCAAATAAATTGGTCGGTGTCAATATCAATAAAAAATTGACAACTCACGGGCAGCCATAGTACATTTGAATTTCCGAGCCGGGTCAACCTTTCCGGTCCCAGTTTGTACTGCACCTAGCTCTATGGACAGGACTAGCCGGTGCAACAAGGTTGACGCGGTCAGACTTTATGCTTCATAAAGGTTGAATTTCCTTTTACCAAAGGGGCAGATTGGCGTGACCTTTTCTTTTACAGTTTTGAATCCCGAACACCCGAATTGTTTCCATGAATGTATCCTTTCAGTTCGAAAATTTGATATAAATTAAAATTTGAAATCTAAAGTCGTCCTCCTTTTCAATAGACACTTTCGCCTTTGATTGTTTATAATTCTTAGTGAAAATTAAATTATAGCAATGTCTGAAAATCTAAAATCTAATATTGTTTTTTACTCCCTTTTAAAATTCATGAACGTACTATTTCGCAAAGGGACTGTAAGCAAAATTTAAATTTAGCCTCCATGCAAAGATGTCAATGTCGTAGTCCCTATGGTACCCTTGAAACCTTTATTTGATCAAGAATCTGGCTCTTTTGCAAAAAGAAGCTTAAAGGGACTTTACAACGGCATCCTCGGCATTTTCATTTGATCAATAATGTGGAAGATATTGTCGTTTTTCTAGCTCAAAAGTTTTTAATAAAGATAATTCCGTCATGTCTTTCTGCAGTAGAAATGCGCAAGTACCTTTTGTGGAAAACCAAAATAGAAAATATTCAGTTTTCAATATTTTAAACATTAATATATAATTCATACTTGATCAGACAAAGCATTTAAGGTACGGTTGTGAATCAGGCATTGCAATCTGTGTATGCAGAATCACTTTAAATTACGCTTACAGTCCCTTTAATATCTAAAAGGCAAACCTTAGTTATAAAGATGATCAACTATTTATATAAAGAATATATTGATAAATGATTATTGTAAAACTTAAGATTGACATATTTCATAAGAAATACTGTGGAAAAAAATTGAAAAAAGAAAAAAAATCAATAATTGGTTTGATTCCTATACATGACATTAAAACTAGCTGTACTGTGTAGTATACAAATTTGTTTTGTTTTAGATATTTCTGAATTTGGGTGTACTGGTCGCAGGCGCAATTGCCGCTCCTCAGTACGCTCCTGCTCCCGCTCCCTACCATCCTGCTCCTCACCACCCTGCTCCAGCCTACAAGGACGAGTCCCCTGCTCCCTACTCCTTCGAGTACGGTGTCCACGACGACTACTCCAAAGCTGCCTTCAACGCCGCCGAAACTTCCGATATCAACGGTGCCGTGACTGGATCCTATTCCGTTGCTCTTCCTGATGGCCGAACCCAGCACGTTCACTACACGGCCGATCATTACAATGGTTATATCGCCGATGTAAGTTACGAAGGTACAGCGGTCTATCCTGATGTTCATGGATACGCCCCTGCTCACCATGCCCCGGCTCATCATGCCCCGGCTCCTTATGCCCCTGCTCCCTACGCCCCGGCTGCTTATGTACCTGCCCCAACCTACGGCTAAACTGAAATGTAATATCTAAATTATCTATTTAATTTTGTTGGAATACACATTTCCCCGAACTTATTATAGTAAAACATTTTTAATTTGAACTAATCGGAATAGATTAGACCAGACCAGATTTTGAGAGAATACCTGAATGTAAAAAAATACAAAAAATGAGGAGAGAGGTTAGAATACAGAGAAAATACATTCGTACAGTGCAGCACAGAAGCCACTATTATAAATTAAGATATAAAATATTTATGGAGTTCAATGCATTAATTCCAGTTTGGAGATTGGAAAAGTCTTTCTTATTTTGAAGAAATATAGAAGCATTGTACTATGTATAGAGTGTAGAGTGTACAATGTGCAATATAAGTTGTACTGTTTACAGTTTTAAGTATTAGTGTTAGTTGTACAGATTATAATTACAGAATAAACTGTACAGTGAATGTATAACAAATAATTACAGAATTGCATAATGTACTATTACAAAATTATTGTATGTACAACGTACATCTACAGAATATTAAGTTTAAAGTACACACTTTAAAGTTACAGAATAAAGTGTACAGAATATAGTGAACATAATATAGTGTACAGAATAAAGTGTACAGAATATAGTGTACAGAATTTAGTGTACCGAATATAGTGTATAGAATAAAGTGTACAGAATAAAGTGTACAGAATATAGTATAGAGAATATAGTGTACCGAATATAGTGTACAGAATATAGTGTACAGAATAAAGTGTACAGAATATAGTGTACCGAATATAGTGTACAGAATATAGTGTACAGAATATAGTGTACAGAATAAAGTGTACAGAATATAGTGTGCAGAATATAGTGAATCGAATATGTACAGTGTAAAGTGAACCCGTTTTACCTGCAATTGAGGCTGGGGGTCTGTACTGTCAACAACAAGTCTGTTTACCAACAAAGGTTCAGAGATTAAGCCATTTCTAAACAAATATTTAGAGATTTAGCCATTTCTAAACAAAGATTAAAAAAAAGTTATTTATCAACAAAGTTTTAAAGATTTATCCGCATATGATCAAAGATATAGAGATTTAGTCATTTCTAAACAAAAGTTTAGAGATTAAGTCATTTCTAATCAAAAGTTTAGAGATTACGCCATTTTTAAACAAAGGTTTAGAGAAAAAGTTATTTATCAGCGTACGTTTAGAGGTTTAGCCATTTCTAAACAAAAGTTTAGAGATTATGCCATTTCTAAGCAGAAGTTTAGAGATAAAGCCATTTCTAAACAAAAGTTTAGAGATTAAGGCATTTTAAACAAAAGTTTAGAGATTAAGCCATAAGAAAGGTTTAGAGATTAAGCCATTTTTAAACAAAAGTTCAGAGAAAAAGTTATTTATCAACAAAGTTTTAAAGATTTATCCGTATGATCAAAGATTTAGAGATTAAGTCATTTCTAAGAAGAAGGTTTAGAGATTAAGCCAAATCTAAACAAAAGTTTTGAGATTAAGCCATATCTACACAAAAGTTTTGAGATTAAGCCATTTCGAAACATAGGTTTAGAGATTTAGCTATTTCTAAACAAAGGTTTAGAGATTAAGCTATTTCTAAACATAGGTTTAGAGATTTAGCTATTTCTGAACAAAGGTTTAGAGATTAAGTCGTTTATGATCAAAGTTTTAGAGATTAAGCTACGCATAAACAATTTTAAGAAAATTAAGCTATTTCTAAACAAAGGTTCATCGATTAAGTGGTTTCTAAATAGACGATTTAGATATTGATTTAATGCTAGTCAAGAAAGGTTTCAGAGATTAAGCCATTTCTAATAAGAATATTTAGAGATTAATTCAGTGCTAGATAAACAATTAGGTTTACAGATTCTAATTAAGCCATTTCTAATAAAAGACTTAAATAAATACAGTGCAAGCAAGACTACGTCATAAAAAGCAAAATTATAGAGTTTTTGCTGATTCTAAACAAAGGTTAAAAAATATAATTGTTCCTACTTAAATTCTAAAGAGATTAAATATATTTAAATACGGTTAAATATTAAAATCCCTGATTAACGAAATCTCCGTTATATTTGAAGTACGGAATTGACTTTAAGTAGGGTTTCCTTTACGCAGAATTAAAGGACTCGTAATTTCTAGAGAGATTAATGTGACATTGTGTTTTTTATAACTCTTTAAGAGTTTATAGTTCAAACGCAAAGATTGCTGGGGCCTTATCTTTTCGAATGTATATTTTCTTCTTTAATGCATTGTATATTTTAAACCTTTTTATCTATAAAAAATATTAGGAACTTCTTCTCTTTTAATCAATTTTAATACTTTCTATCACTTTTTAATTTCTTTTAATTTTCATATTTTTTCCTCGTTTATTCTACGTATTACTTTGCAAAAAAATAAGTAATGAAAGCTTAATGAAAGAAAATGAAAGAAAAATGTCTCAAAAAATACTTTGTTTAATTAATTAGACATTTAGAACAAATCACTGTGAATTTTGTACTAACGTAAAGTTGATAGCATAACACTTTTCTTCAAATAAAAGTTTAATATTCATACTTTTTTTAAATAAAGTTTAAATTCAGAACTTTTGAAGAAACCAGGATTACTTTAATGAATTTGAGTTAGGTTGCTGAATTACCTACCACCGATGTGGATTGTGTATAGTAGTTATTAACATTAACGACACACGGAAAAAATCCTGATTCAAGATACCTGATTGAACCGTCATATGTAGATCTAGCTCAAATCCTGATTCAAGATATCTGATTAAACCGTCATATGTAGACCTAGCTCAAATCCTGATTCAAGATACCTAATTGAACCGTCTTATGTAGACCTAGCTCAAATCCTGATTCAAGATACATGATTGAACCGTCTTATGTAGACCTAGCTCAAATCCTGATTCAAGATACATGATTGAACCGTCATATGTAGATCTAGCTCAAATCCTGATTCAAGATACATGATTGAACCGTCATATGTAGACCTAGCTCAAATCCTGATTCAAGATACATGATTGAACCGTCATATGTAGATCTAGCTCAAATCCTGATTCAAGATATCTGATTGAACCGTCATATGTAGACCTAGCTCAAATCCTGATTCAAGATACCTGATTGAACCGTTATATGTAGACCTAGCTCAAATGCATTAAATATGTTCCATGTCTCTATTAAAATTAATCTTGAAATATTTTGAATTTATAAATGATATTTATTTTAATTTCCATTCCTGATAATCACTTAAAAAAAGATTCCAATCTTCATCAAAAATGAAATATGTACTTTGTCAAAATATTACTTTATGGATTTATCTTAAACTCAATTATAATTCGTTCATTCCTTGTTGATCACTTCAATCCCGAATGTTATAAATATTTGCAAACATTTTGGTCGTCTTTGAAGTTTTGCAGCGCGTTGGCCTTTGCTTTATCTCTTTTAGTCATTCTTTTGTGATCCTGGACATTCATATTTCAGAAAACTACGGGGCTAACCTCATCAAATACACAAAAAATTATTTAAATTTCAGAGTTCTTTGGTTGTAGTAAATGGAAATATTTACTTCTTCTGAAACTATAGTGCACTCCTGTATGCCGAGTCCATCAGGGTTCAGTCATGTGTTTGTTGTCTATTCTGAACCAATAGAAATTGCATAGCGGTTACATCTATCTTTCTATCTATCTCATTATCCAATCAGAGATATGAATCCTTCAATCGGTGCTATCAGTAAATTGAAATATTTACTTCTACTGAAGTCTGAAACTATAGTGTTATAAAGCAAAAACTTTCCCAGCAATTTGGAAATCAGCTTATTAAGTGAAATGTGTCTGTGTTTCATGTTCCATGCTTCATGTGGGACTGTTTAAAATCATAACTTACGTCTAAAAGTCGTCTTCCTATTCCACAGTTTTCTGGTTCTAGCAGTATGTGTTTTAAGCAAATATTGACTCAAGTTTAATTAAAACTCCTCTCTCTACCTAGTACCTGCATGTCTATGGTGTCCCCCCTGCCATTAAGGAAATTTAAACAAAAATCTTAAAGTTTGTACACAATTTAACCCTAGAATGCCTAGACTCACGGGGTCGTTGGGGAGTTCAATCCAATGCCACAAACTTTTTTTTTAATATTTAAAACTACAAATTCTGGCATAACAAATAATCTTACTGTTAAATATCAAAGGTTTAGAAATTGCAGGTTTTAAAGATTTAGAGATTAGAAATTTTAATTTTGTCACAAAGACACAATTTATTTGTCGAAACCATGAAATAGAACTTCTCCTAAATGAATGATGACTTAAAAATTAACCCTTTTAATTCCATTATTGGTATCTACTCACCAGTCCCCGCTAACACTATAATTTATGCCAATATTGGTCTGAAAGGGATGGATACTTTGTTTGACTCTCTATTGAAAGTGGGGCAAGCCCGTTTCAACAGAACTCTGGAAACCTTAATCTTATCAATTACACGGAAGATTTGCTGTAGCGTAATTCTGTTAAATTCTGTAATTTCTCCAATGGAGGGTCACTTGAAACAAAGTGTACAGTCCCTTTAAACATTCCAAACATGATTATGCAGATAATTGGATGGTGGAAACTTTTGAGGATCTCTTCTGTAGAAATACAAATATTATTGACTTAAACTGTTTTTTTTACATTGAAAGAAAAATTAAAAATAATCTAATTCAGGGTTCATTTATTTGAAAACTTTTTCTTTAAGATATATTAATCTTAGTTTAAAGAATTGGACTTTCTTTCATTATTTACAAAAATAAAACCTCTTCTTCTAAACAAAAAATAACAAAACTTTTGCAAAATTTTTAAATAAACGATTAATCTTGTTGCTTCATTCTATGATAAAATATCAAATTTCCAGTTGAGGCCCATCAAAAATTGATGTAATGGAAATATACACAACCTTTTAAAAGCCTAAAAATATTAAAAGTTTCTGTAAAATCTATATACAATAATTTTGCCCATCTGCTATATACAATAATATTGCTCATCTGCTATACACAATAATATTGAGTTAAAAAAGATTCCTTAGCAAGCTAACTTATAAGGACTGTAAGCATAATTTTTCAAGTTGCCCCTCATGCAAGTGGCAATGATTGATTCACGATGATTGATTCACGATGGTACCCTTGAAAGCTTTCTCTGATCAAGTATGAATTAGATATCAATGTTTATGATTTTAAAAACTGATCATTTTCTTGAACATTTCTGAAATCACTTAAAATATCGCTAACAGTCCCTTAAAACCAAATCATTTTATCGGTTTATTACTCCTGATCGTTTTTATTTAAAAAAGTACTCTGAAAACCTTGAAACCAATTCTAAAAAGTATACATTTAACATAAGTAGAAAAAGTAATAAAAGCAATATATCAACAGATTAATTATTTAATTTTTTAGATTATTTTTTGTAGTTCTTCTGTTCCAACGAGGTTATAGGGTATAGAGTGATGATGTACGCTAATTCTTTACTAATTGTTTAGGCCACAAACTATAACGAGAGCGTAATGCATATTTGTATAAGTTGATTCTGGCCTAACCTACAGTCCCTAAAGAGTGTCCCAATAATCATGGGAAATCATGGTGACGAATTCGATATCGTCTTTTCAAACAATTCTTTTGTTTAGTATAGTGATACCTACTCAGAAAGCTGTAATCTGTAAGAGTTTCGTCTATTATGTGTACAATTTGTTTGTTTATGTTTTGACTACATAAGCTGTTGTACTTAATAAAACAAGAAAATTGCAATATATAAACATAGTATGAACTTGTCCGTATTCACTTTTCATCTTGCAGATACATTATAGACACATCTTTACAGTCTTTTACCCTTTTCATAAAATAAACTCTAGCAGACATAATAATATTATAGCATTTGAAATTAGGTATTACAATGCTAATTCATTACAAAGACGATATCGAATTCGTCACTGAATTCCCATGTTTTTTGGGACACCCTGTAAAGT